GAACGAGCAGACTTGAAAGCAAGACTTGCCGTGTCTGAAAGGGGACTAAAACGGATGGGCAAATCGACTATCTCTTCATTCTGAGCATTTTGGTATGCGAATAAAGTAAGGCTGGGACTATTCGCATATTCGGATATCCGTTTGGATTTTCTTGTATACGGGCAAAATCCGTTTAATATCCATTCTGTTTTCTTATCCTGTTCATATCCTGATATTCGGTTAATATACATTAATTTTGCTATTCGGATATCCAGTTAATATACTGATATTCAAATTTTTCAATCTGATATTCAAGTATTCGGATATTCAAGAAATCCAGATAGAACTCCCAGACCTAGAACAAAGTTATACAGGTAGGTTCTGCCATTCGCTTCCGAGTGCTTTTGGGAAGTGCATTACAGAACGTGCCTGAAAATTACCTTGTGCATAAGTGCGCTCGGGTATAAAAATATTCGCAACCGAGAGGCGTATTAATGCAGTAACATTTTAAGAATGCAAAAGCAAATAACCGCCGAATTATACGCACATATCTTCTTGTGTCTAAAAAGTGCCGCTAAAGTTGTTAAAAATACTAATGAAGTTTTCACGAACAGGACGTAAGAAGAATCGTTTGCTTCCGCCAACGCGCTAGCTGCTAAGTCAGTCGTTGAGCGCAAAATATGGCAATTTGCCCAACTCACATTTACGTCAGTTAAGTTAAGATAGGAATATTTAGCGCATTAAAACATTTCCTTAATTGAATTGTAAATGCGCGCTAGTTTAATAGAATTGTTTTAAAGCCAAAAAACGAGCCAGATTAAATTTTAAAATTATTGGCTTAAAACGTTTACATTAATTTTTCTTTTTGTTCGTCTTTTTCAGCGAAAAAACTGGTGTCAAGGCAGGCGAGCTCTTCATGTCCTTCAGATCAATTTTCCAAGATGTACGACGTGCTATCGATTTTGTACATATAAAAGGCAATCTAAAACAGAAGACAATCGAGGTAAGTCCATACTCTTACTCTTTGCAAAATCTCTTCAATTTTTTTTTTCCTATGCTTGCTTTGCAGAACTTGGATTACTACGTTAAAAAGGATCCCCGTCTACCCATGGTGCTGTCGCGCATACGCGAATCTGGTGCCAAGGTCTTCTTACTCACCAACAGCGATTACAAATACACCAACATCATTATGTCGTATTTATTCGATTTCGAGCATGGCGCGAGACCCGACGAGCCACATCGCAATTGGAAAACCTACTTCGATGTAATTGTAGTGGATGCAGCGAAACCACTCTTCTTCGGCGAAGGTACAATTCTCCGGCAAGTCGATACACAAACGGGTGCCTTGAGAATCGGCACACACATGGGTCCACTGCAGCCGGGCAAAGTCTATTCCGGTGGCTCATGTGAGGTGTTCACTTCCTTCATCAATGCCAAGGGCAAGGATGTCCTCTATGTCGGTGATCACATTTTTGGTGATATTCTGAAGTCGAAGAAGATACGTGGTTGGCGTACATTCCTGATTGTACCCGAGCTGGTGCAGGAATTACATGTATGGACAGATAAGTGTCAGTATTTTGCTGAGTTACAGCAATTGGATGTTATGTTGGGTGATATGTACAAGTAAGTAAATAAAAAATAAATAAATAAATAAAAATATCTAAGAAATATCGCGAATATTTACAAAACTACTCTCTATTAATAACACACAGAAATCTGGACTCGAGCGCTAAAGAAAAGCCGGACATTTCAAAATTGCGTTCAAGCATACGTGATGTCACCCATAAAATGGACATGGCTTACGGCATGATGGGCTCACTATTCCGTTCCGGTTCCAGACAAACATTCTTCTCCAGTCAAGTATCCAGATATGCCGACTTGTATGCGGCAACTTTCCTCAATCTCTATTATTATCCATTCTCGTATATGTTCCGTGCACCGGCTATGCTGCTGCCGCACGAATCTACAGTAACGCATGAGCAACGATTCCACATGGAGGCACCGCCTATACAACGTGCACGCAGCAAGAACGAAAGTGTGGATGGTGGTGCGCTAAGCATGATTTCATCACCTACCGAGAAGGCGCAGGAAGCCATGGCGAACTTCGAACGTGCGGATTGCAAAGACGAAGAAATTGAGAAGCTTGCTGAGGAAATTAAGGTTGGTGAATGTTGTTTATTGACATTATCTACGGAGGTGGAGAGATAAGAAATTTGGTGGAATGCCGATTCCAGGCTTCCTTGAATATATTGATGTTTGAGTATTTTTGTAGCGAAAAGTTTGAAATTTTCACTTACATGGGTTTTGCTAAATAGTGAGCTATACTTGTGTATAAAAATAATAAAAATTAAATTAAATAAAAGAAAAATAGCCAAAACTTGTTAAATTGGCGCGCATTCGTATTTATTTTCCCGCAAAATTTGTATCTTTATTCTGCCTAAGTTAAAATTTGTAATGTACTTTTTGCTAACAAATTAAACCCAATAAATGCATTTTACTCTTTTGCAGTCAATGAATTCGGCTGGTACAACCAATTCCACAGTGCCGCATACGCGTCCGCCAACACCGCAAAGCGTGACGCACACACACGATGAGGACTACTCGGAGGAGGAATCGGAACAAATGCCCAAATGTGACTGTCAACGACAGCAAGATGATACCGACTAGAATCTGGCGAATTTAGTATGCACTTATAAAGCATCGGCAGGCGCCTCGGAAGCGTTTAAAATAAATAAATAAACAAAAAGAAATGATGAAGCATACGAAAGCGTTCGTTTGGGTTCGACGCGCTAGTCGCATTGTTGCGCTCCATTTGATATTTACTCCTCAAAGATTTTTTTCAAAGCGACGATTTTAAAAATTGATTTTCCTTTTTTACATACGCTAAAACTTTAATTTGTAAATGTTTGTTTAGTTTATTAACTAATGTACCTTTATTTAGTTTCATACGGAATACTTTTTTATTTTAATTAATTTGAATTAGAAAACTATGATTGAATAAAATAAATACATACATACATACATACATACGTATAACATATAACACATAAATGATATCAGATTTATTTTAACATTAATATGATTTATTTTTTTTTGTGTGGTGCGCCACCAAAGTTTTTCCTTCGTTGCAGCCTATTAATTTGTCTAAGGTTGACGGCAAAGCTGTGTTATTATGGCGCTGGAACAAGCTTTTGGTGCTTATCATGGCTACACATGTGGGTGTCCACATATTGATAAATTTTTACTGTTTTTTTATTTTTTATTTTTAATGTTTTTTTTTTTTAAGGATGTATGAAAATTAAAAAGCAACAAAGTGATTTCAAATCGTTGCAGTCAAATTCATTTACTAACACTTTTAACTGCAGCCAATGAATCACATTTTTGACTAAAGACTGCAAAATTAAAGTCACTAGTGTTCGCCCAGCGGTTGAAATTCAACCGATAAAATTAAGGATAGTTTATGTAAGTTGAATGAGCTAAAATAACATTAGTTGGAATGGGTTAAGTGGAGGGGAGTTTAGCTTAGTACTTGGCATAACATAACATAACCATAACATAAGAATAAATAACATAACATATGAAGCATAACACACCACAATATAACATCGCACACTCTTCAGTTGTATTTCCTTTTTATCCGTTTTTTCACCTCTATCTAAATCTTATTTATTTTGGTTCATTTTATGCCAAATGATGTTGCCTTTGATGCCACATCAAGTGATATCATGTCATGTGGTGAAATTGGGTGTGGTGAGCTGCGGTGTGGTGGATTTGGGTGTAGGAGTTACGGTGTGGTGAATTTAGGTGTGGTGGATTCAGGTGTGGTGAGTTAAGTTATGGTGAGAAAGTTGAGGTGTGGTGAATTAAGGTGTGGTGAATTTTGGTGTGGTGAGTTGAGGTGAGTTAAGGTGTGGTGAGAAAGTTGAGGTGTGGTGAATTAAGGGTGGTGGATTTAGGTGTGGTGGATTTAGGTGCGGGGGTTAAGGTGTGGCGAGTTGAGGTGTGGTGAATTTAGGTGTGGGGAGTTAAAGTGTGGTGAATTAATGTGTGGTGAGCTCAGGTGGAGTAAGTTTTTAAGTTAAGATGAGTTAAAGTTAAGGGGTTAAGATTTTTATCCTTATCTTCATCTTCATCTTCATCTTCATCTTCATATCCACCTTCGTTTGTATTTAGGTTTCTTTACTTTTATTCTAATCTTTGCCTTTATCCCTTTCTTCTTCTACATATTCAACTTTACCTTCTTCCTTGCATGAATCTTAATCTTCGTAAATCTGATTTCTAAACTGCTGCTTAGCAGATTTCTTAAATTCAGTATCAATATTAAAGCAATGTCATTGATGCCACATAAAGTGATATCATGTCATGTGGGGAAATTGGGTGTGGTGGTTTGCGATGTGGTGGAATTGGGTGTGGGAGTTACGGCGCTGTGAATTCAGGTGTGGTGGGCTTAAGACGTGCGGTGACTTTAGGTGTGGTGAGTTTAGGTGTGGTGAATTTAGGTGTGGGGAGTTAAGATGTGGTGAGTTGAGGTGTGGTGAGTTAAGGTGTGGTGAGAAAGTTGAGGTGTGGTGAATTACGGTGTGGTGGATTTAGGTGTGGGGGGTTAACGTGTGGTGAGTTGAGGTGTGGTGAATTAAGGTGTGGTGAATTTAGGTGTGTGGAATTAAGGTGTGGTGAGTTGAGGTGTGGTGAGTTAAGGTGTGGTGAGAGAGTTGAAGTGTGGTGAACTACGGTGTGGGGGTTAAGTTGTGGTTTTTTTCATCTTCATCTTCGTCTTCATCTTCATCTTCATCTTCATCTTCATCTTCATCTTCATCTTCGTCGTCTTGGTCTTCATCTTTATCTTTTCCTTTATCCTGATCTAAATATGTCCATTCTTTTCTTCATTTACATATTCACCCCCACCATTGTTATTAGGTTAGGTATTTAAATTTTCCTTCCTCTTTGTCTTTATATCTAGGTTTCTTTACTTTTATTTTAATTTCTGTATTTATCACTTTCTTCTTCCCCATACTCAACTTTACCTTCTTCCTTGTTTGAGTCTAATCTATTCATGTACATACATACATACATTTTATTCCTGAACTGCTGCTTAGCACGTTTCTTTAATTCGCTATCAATATTAAAGCATACATTTAGGGGGCATTTCCGCCCCAACCATGTACATGTGTGCATTGGTATTGGTGTGACTTTTGAATTGATTTTTTCGCTCTATTTTAAACTGATTTGAAATTTTAAAAATTGCCTGCACATCAGCATCAAAATACCTTTCTAATGATATATAACTGTTTATACCTTAGAAGTATAGTTTAGCCGTAAAAGGGGTGTAAAGGAAACATGATTGCCTATTTATATAATGATTAGTCTCTCCTGTTATTCATGACTAATTAGGGATTTTTGCAGTCTTACATGAATAATGAACTTCTAAAGCAATCTTTGCGTGCATTTCTTTATAATTAAAATACATGTTTTATTATTAATTTAATTAAAACTTCAGCAGTTTATAAAATATTTACAAAATGTCAATAAATTCCGGAAATTTATAGGGAAAGATGCATATTATAAAGCTTAAAGCCTTATATCTAGTGTATTCAATATGTATGTATGTACATTAGGCTGCCGCATAAAAAATTGAAGTTTTTCCACAGGAATTGTAAAATTTAATACATTTTAATAGATCATTTCCACCAAGTCTTAACTGCAGTTTATGCCTATTGGAAAGAGGAGATTACAACTCAAAGGCGGTAATTGCTCATACTAAGTACAAGTAAACGAAAGGAACAGATCAAAAACTAACAAGTAGATCTTTTACCATGTCAAAATTATTGGAACTTATATAAGCTCTTAACTGCAGTGGTGGATAAAGGCTATGACACTGCTGCAAAAAAAAAATCGGGAGCTGAGCCGACTTTTTTTGATTCCGTTTATTGAATTTTTAAACATTTTTATGCAGACCTTTTAAGCTTAAACTCTTCTATCCTATAAGGTGATTTTATTTATGAAAAAAAATTATAATATTTAATTTGTATAATTCCGATGGAAAAGCAGTATCATTTTTTTTTTTTTTTGTATGGAGGGTGACGCACGCTAATCTAGATCTAATAGATGCAAGGTAGAATTTTTACTAGTTTGCTAGTCATTTATAAAAAATTCCATTTTTAACAAAAAAAAGAACAATTCAGAGTACAAAATATGCAAAGTATTGCAAATGACTAGCAATTTGGAACTGTAATCCAATAGGCCCGAAATCAGGTAACGAATAAAAAAAAATGCAATCCAGTGGCCGAAATGAAGCAACTAACAAAAAATTTTTAAAAGAAAATTTTTTTTTGTAGGACAAACATCCAAAATACCGTCATAAAAAAATTGCAAAAATCAACGCTATTTTTTGGCCACTTCAAACTTTCACAAAGTGTGCAAACGTTCAAACTTGTATTTATGTATATGGGTTTTGTTACAGAAAGAACTTCCTTTATAGAAAAATAACTAAAATTAAATATTTAATAAAAAATATGTAGTCAAAACTTGTCGCTATGTGGGTGTCATATAGTTATGATAACCACTATTATAAATCGTCGGATCTTAAAGTTTGATATATCGAATTGCTTTATACTTTAGACTCAGGGGTGTACAATGAACTTTTTTTACGGTACGGTCAACGCAATTGATACACACACTTTTTCTAGTAAGAATATAATCATGAAGAAAAAAATATTTGCATTAATTTTAAGAAAAATTCTACGAATTGATTTATGCAAAAAAAAATAGACCAACAGTTTTTTCTGAGTTGTGCCTCGTTTGAAGACGGTGTGCGATATGTAAAAGATCTTAAAAGTTACGTTTTGCGTTTTCTCCGAGTAAATTTGAACAAAAAAAGACAATGATCAAAACAAAAAACAATTAATACAGGGAACTAAATTCGAATTAAAAAAATCTGAAGCAAGAAAAGTGGATTTTACCTGAAATAAGGTGCATATGTACATATGAAAATAAAGTTCAAATGATCGGCCAAGAATCGGCAAAAAAGGCAAATGGTGATTAATCGCTCGCGCTCTATTCTCTAGCCTAAGCCTTAACGTTTTAAAATTTTGTTTTCGCGTTTGCAACTCCTACTCGCGAGCAAGTTTTTTTTTCGTGGGCATCCTTTAGACTCCAAGGAGCCACCATTAATCTGAAACTTCTTATATGCAGTTATTTTTTTATCAATTTATAAACAATTTTGCCTGCCTTCAAAAACTTGGTCACCTCCAATACTTACTAAGCAATCGATTGAAAAAAAGTTGTTACCAAATGATTATCATAACGAATCTAAATAATGAGTTACATGTTCTTGTTTGATGTATAGTACTTCACTATAACGAGGAGTACAAATAAACGCATAAACATAATACATACTATATATTCCAACAGCGGTGAAAACAACAACATTAATAAAGTTAAAGTAATTTTGAAAAAAAAAAATAATAATCGTAGTTATTTTCTCTAAAAGATTTGACTATTCAATTTGCGATAACAAATGTATGCTTACATTAGCGACGAAATACATACACACAAATTTTTGTAACAGTATTGATGGAGCTGCACCGACATGCAAACTTCAGACGGATCTTGCAAAAACATGATTGACACTTTAAATTTGCGAGTACTTTCGGTCAATGTGCATAAAATCAACTGAAATTCAACCAACAGTTTTATCCCAACATTTTGTTTAGTTATGAGGCCAGTCTGGGAACCCATTATATCGAAAACACATTAGGGGTATTCTCTGAGTCTTGCAAAGCCCTTGCACGGTGCACAGATTGCACGGCAAAAAGCGGTTTTCGTATAAGACAGCTTTGCAAACCGTGCAATCCGTGCAGCGTGCAAGGGCTTTGCAAGGCTCAGAGAATACTCCCATTGTAGCGAAGTTTTTTATGCAATGCCAAAGTTTTCAGAGAATATTCACTAAATAAACTGTGTTTGTAAGCTTTTATTACTAATAAGGGAAGTATGCTAAGTCCGCAATGTTCATTTTAAGTATATTAATTCATGTGGTCGAATATTGAACTTACAGAATGCGTTACATCCGAGCCATGCCGAAATTATATTCAAACAAGGAAGTGTCCATAGCACAATCGATCTATGATGCCGACTATCGATAGTTTCTAATAAAGTCAATTTTCAGTTCGATATTATATAATGTCATTATTTTATTTCAATTTTGGGTTCTACGCCGCTAAAAAAAATCGCCTTTCGAATCACGCTTTGGTATCGCCACGCGTCGCGTTTCGCCATCAACGGGACGTGCATACCATATCAGCTGATTTTACGAATTACCCTTCCTTTACGCTCATCGCCCGTCCTCCTCGAACCTTGAAATAGAATCGTGGGTAAACTCAGAACGCAGTAATTACTCGGGAGAGGGAGGGCGCCTTAGACAGGCCAGAATTTTTGGTTATCCTTTCGCTGAACAGATATCGGCTCAAGTTGCTTGTTGGCTATCTGACGGGCAAAAATCATCTACGCTCTCACATGCACCGGATTGAAGAAGAGGGGACGTCGGAACACATTATGTGTGATTGTCCGACATTGGCCAGACTAAGACTGCAATGCTTCAGTTCTTCCAAAGTCGATGCCCTTAAGGTTAGGAAAGCGTATACCAAGAACCTTTTACCATTTAGAAGGGAGGCTAATAATATCTTGCGCCGTCAGGGTTAGCAACCATCACAGGGATACAAAATATCTTCTAGGTCGCGGTGTCTCTCTCCGTTACACCCAAAACATTTACGTTACATTCCTTTATTGATGAAAGTTAGCGCCATATGTGTTTGAGAAATGCCCCGTCCTTTGCATATCCCGTACTAGGATGATGACAATCGCTTTATATCCCAGGTGAATAGTTAACACTGCAGATCTTTTGAGACATTTTCTTTGGTAGCAATTTTTATGTGGTCAATTCCAGCTCAACTAATTCGTGGGGGCCTTAAGTGTATAAATTTTTTACTCGAAGACTAATTCATCACCTACTATTTAAATAACTGTGTCGATTTTACTGCGCTCTTTAGCCGAATATCGAGCACTTCTCACTCTACACCGCAGCAAAATGAATGGGATAAAGGGGCTGCCGCATATCGCTAAGTCCATGGACCATAACATTCATACATTAAAAGCTACTTCCCTCTTTTCCAAGTATTATTTAAAAGCTTCAACAAGTAAACATATTTTTAATGTTCGGTGAAAATTTTTATTCGAGTAGTTTAACGATTATGAAAGCTTAAAATAATGCTTTGATGATTTTATTTTCTGCTTTGATTAGAATTTTAAAGCCGCTTAATGGCATTTGTATCACATTTGAGGTCATTGTAGATTTGCTCATTGGTGTTGGGATTCTTCAACTCAGTCACGAATTCGGTAGCATCGTCCTGAAATGAGAAGTAAAAAGTTAAATATCAAAAAAAAATCAAAGCTATGCGAGCCACTTTTTCGAAACTCACATCGAACAATACATTCTTGGCATCCTTCTCGTAGGGGCCAAACAGGGCGAAAACATCGGACAGCTTGCCCCCTTTGCCGAATTTGGTCGAAAGCGAAACAAACAGATGCTTAACGGTTTCCTGCTCAACAGGCGTCATGCTTTCGCGAATGAAGACTGCTATCGGCAAATTAACTTCCAAATTACAGGTGTGATACTCAGTAACCGGCTTCACTTCCAATGAGGGGCAAACCAATTGCTTGTTCTTGTATTGCTCCAATTCACTGGAGTGTACAATCATGAGATTCTTGTCAGTGGACGGGGTGGTCTGACAGGGACTTATGTTGCGACGTTTGTTCAAGAAGACCGCCGCCTTATGAGCGCGTTCGTTCTGTGCATCAAAGTTGCTGCACAGGGAGAGAACATTGAGTACATTGAGTAATGGTAATTAAAAAAAAAAACAAAAGATGACGCGGCAACTTACATTGGCAACTTTTGCACATCCTTGCTGGCGCTCGGCTCTACGATGGCCACATAGACATTATCGGGTCCGTAGCTTTCATAAACAATCGGCTTGAGTTTGTCATCGCGCGCCTCTTTGTAGTTGTTGGCATGCAGTGCCACCAAGTCTGCCTTCTGCTCCTTTACGGCAATCAAACAATCATTCTCCTGCACGCATTCCAATTCGGGACGTATGTCACGCGAGTAGGCTGCACGACGCATCGTATCGCATTTGGCCAACTCAATGTCGGTCTGCACGCAGAGACGCATCTTTCGAATGGCGCTGCCATCGCGTTCGATGACATCCTTGTAGCCGGCGCGTTCCAGGTACACTTTTGGTTCGACGGCCTCTGGTTTGCTGTGGTACACAGCATTTTCATTAATGAGCAAATGTTCTGCTGCCAGCTTGTTCTCAGCATGTAAGCCATTTTCGAAGAATTTCTCTAAACGGTTTTGTAAGTTGTGTAATTTCTGCTCGCCATTTACTGAATCAGCATTTGAGATGTAGCCAGTCCATGGGCGTTGAGCCCAAGAGCAAGCCGGCCCGGTGACTGGGCGACGGCTGCCATCCTCGCAGAGATATTCGAACTCGGAGGGGTCACCTTCGGCAGTGGAACCCGGTGCGAGCTGAAAAGGGATTAATAATGAGATAGAATGTGCCTATATGTGTGCTTGCATTTAGTTTTAAACACTTACGCCAAAGTATTTCTTGATGTATTGCACCTTGGTGAAGGCTACCTCACCCTTGCCTTTGTCCAAGCAACGAATTGCGCCATCATAACCAGAGAACTTGTCAGGGTAGTTGCACTGCTCGGGTTTTTCGCATAGTTCGCATAAGTTGGAGTATTTCTTTTCTGTGGTTTGAGTGGTATGAGTATTAAAATTTGTAAGGCAATGAGAGTTATTTAAGTGCGAGTAACTCACTCAGCAGACGGTCAGTTTCAGGATATGGCGAGTAGGAGCCAACCAGGCAGGATTGTGTAAAGAATTCAGACAAAGCCTTCAACTCACGTTCGGTGGCGGTCACATCGGGATCCAAAGAAACCTTCAAAATGTGTGTATTCTTCAACTTGGTGATGGGAATCTACAAAAAAAAGGTTGAGGAGCGTATGTATGAGGAAAAATGCAAAGCGAAAACAAAAATAAAAATAAAACCACTTACAAATGCATACAGCTATAAAGCTTAACTAACTTATGACTTTGCTAATTAACTACTAGCAATAGTTAAACTAGTATTTCGCCTAGAACGAAAAAAAATGCCCCGGCATAGTCACGAGCTGGTAATTTAAATAATAAAGTAGCTTAACTGCTCTTAAAGCGTCTGACTACTAGGCTTATGCACACATTTGATTGGCTTCATTGCTTTGCTAATTTGGTCATTAGGGGCAGTTGAGCAAGATTAGTGGGATTTT